GCCCATTGTTGGGGTGCTGGTATGCACCGATCAGCTCGGGGAGGGTGCGGAAACACTTGGCTTGGATGCCCTGGATGGTCTGGGGAGGCAGAGAGGGGGAAGCATCATCACATCCCCTCCTCTGCCAGGGCAGCCCCAGCCTGCAGGGTTTGGTGGGTCTGTCTCTCAAAATGTGCCCGTGGTGAGTGGGAAGGGCCAGCTGGACACCGGGCCCAGCAGGCAGGGATGCTCCCTGCGGGCACCCAGGATGCTCTTTTAGGGGGCAGGAAGGGCAGCTGGAGAAAGTTTGGTACCAGGAGAAACCCTGAGGGGACATGGAAGCGAGCGCAGAACAGACCCCGCGTGGGGACAGGCACCGTGGGGCTGGCTCTGTGTGGCCAGGCTGTGACAGCGCCGGGATGCTGTGCAGAGGCAGCTCCTCCTGAGCTGGTGAGGCTGCAAAGCGCCCGCATCCTGCAGCTTGTGCAGAACACAAACCACAGGCTGATGCCACCTCGCCGGGGAGGGAGACGAGCACCCCGGGCCCTGCACAGCTGCATCCTGCCCACATCCAGCTCCCAGGCACCGCCCAGGCTGGGGACTGCACCCACCTGCACGGAGAGCAGCCCCTCCTCATCGGGGAGGATGCGGTAGGTGTAGACGTGCCTCTGGAACCTGGAGAGAGCAGGTGAGGGCCCCGTTCTGCTGCCCTCGGCAGCGCTGGGGCCCAGCCCTGAGACAGACACCCCTTCCCCTCTGCAGGGAGAGGAGCTGAGCCAGCATTTCTAGAAATAAATCATCACCCCCAGCTCGGAGTCTGTGGGAGGATGTGCAGTGTTCCCCTGGTCCCAAACAGCCCGGGACAGCTGTGACTCCCCCAGCACTCAGTGAGCTACCCACAGAGCCTTTGCCATGCCCCACACCCCCAGAGCCCAAATTTGCGTTTGTCCCACACAAAGAGCCAGGGCAGTGAAGGAAAGGGGGTGCATCCTGCCAAACCTGCCCGCACAGACATGTGACAGCAGGCAGGAAGGGTGCAGGGCAGGAACGGTGCAGAGCAGGAAGGGTGCAGGCAGCAGTGCTCTCAGGGGCTGCACACCTGGTTCCAGGTGTGGGGATGAAAAGAGGCCCCATCTTGGGGGCTGTAGCCCCAAATCCCCAGCACGGGAGATGCTCACAGGCCAGCAGGCAGCCCAGAACAGCTCCGTGTGCCCCGGATTTGGGGTTACCCGTTCAGCAGCCATGGTGCTGGGCACGGCTGTGGGCCCAACCTTCATCCTGCTCCCAACCCGGGGATCACTCAAACCCCAGTGCCAGGGTGCTGCCACCCTGCCACCCACATCCCTGCAGCTCTTCCATGAGGTTTTGGCAGTGCCTGGAGCAGGGAGAGCCACAGAGGGAGGCAGGCAGGGGACAGAGGCACAGAAGGTGCGGCAAGGACTCACAGGAGGCACAGGGCATATGCGCCCTTCACCGACTCGCTGTCCCGCACCAGGAAGGAGCCGTCCCGCCCAGCCTTTGCCAGCAGCTCCTCGGCCACCACCTGGCTGATGTCACGGTGCTACCAGCGCACTGCC